GACAGGTCCAATTTTACTTTTAAAGTAGTAAAAGTTACTTTTTCTTTTTTTCCGTGTATATATATAATTCCATTCCCACTTCTACTTTTTTATTTTATATCTTACTTTTCTAATTTTCATTCTCACTTCTATTTTCACTTCCACCCCACACTTTGGAAAGATTCCCCTGAAAGTGCCCCCTGGAAGTTCTATCAGAATTCCGCCGGAACTTCCAACGTAATTCCGTCGGAGTTCAAAAGAATTTCCGACGGAATTCCGATTAATTTTTTTTTTTTCAAAATTTTTAGAGTCATAATTCCGTCGGAACTCCGCCGGAATCCCAACGGAAATTCTTTTGAACTCCGATGGAGTTCCGATGGAATTACGTTGGATGTTCCGGCGGAATTCTGATAGAACCTCCAGGAGGCACTTTCCGGGGAATCTTTTCAAAGTGGGGTGGAAGTGGAAATGGAAGTTGGAATGAAAATAAGGAAAAGTCCCACTTGGAAAGATTCCCCGGAAAATGCCCCCTGTAGGTTCTATCAGAATTCCGCCGGAACTTCCAACGTAATTCCGTCGGAATTCCATCGGAGTTCCAAAGAATTTCCGACGGAATTCCGGCGGAGTTCCGACGGAATTAGGACTCTAAAAATTTTGAAAAAAAAAATTAATCAGAATTCCGTCGGAAATTCTTTGGAACTCCGATGGAATTGCGATGGAATTACGTTGGAAGTTCCGGCGGAATTCTGATAGAACCTCCAGGGGGCACTTTCCGGGGAATCTTTCCATAGTGGGACTTTTCCTTATTTTCATTCCAACTTCCACTTTTTTTTTTAATTTCATTCCCACTTTTTTATTTTCATACCTATTTCTACTTCCACTTTTTCTAATTTTTATATTTCTACTTCCATTTAAAAAATTTTTTTCATTCCAATCAAAAAAAAGTGGAAATTAGAATGACAATGAAAATAAAAAGTGGAAGTTGGAATGAAAATGGGGGAAAAGTGGAAATGGAATATTGGAAGTGCGGGAATGAAAATAAAAAAGTGGAAATTGAATGAAAATTTGAATATTAAAAAATTTTATAATTTTATTAAGAAAAAAAAAAAAGAAAATTTATTTTTTAAGAAAAGTAGGCACTGCCATAGGCGTTTTCGAAGGGATGTAACCAGTATCTACACACACGCCTTCTTCCGCAATTCGTTCCGTTGCACCTTTTGCTGTGTCCCCCTCATCTCATCAGCATGTCGAATTTCACATGTTCTCTCTCTCTCTCTCTCTCTCTCTGTCAAGTCGTTAACTCCCCGAAACAGAGGTGGAATTACATGCCTCAACCATGCAAGAAATGTCGAATCAGAAAAAAAACCAGTTTTCAGAATTAATTATCCAATGCTCTCTTAATGTCATCATTAAATGTTATCAATTATTTACCTGTATATGTCACTTGTTAAATTATAATATTCGATCAAGTATATATTACAATAATTAAGCCCTAATAACGATTGTACAAAATTCATTTCATGAATAATAATAATATTATTGGTTTTCTTTTTTTGTTGGAATCTGTATTTGATTTTACAAAATTCATATAAGTGCGGAACAAATTCATATTAAAATAATAATAATAATAATAAACAAATTTCAAGGAAAGCCGATCAATTTTTAACATTTTTAAAATAACTTTTCACCATATTGGATATTGTATTTTGTATTTTTAAAATTTGACAACATATTCGTAATCGCAGCGACCCCAAAAACCTTCAAGTAACATATATAAGTTTTAAGCAAATCCGATTGATTTTTTAATTTTATTGTCCGACATATTGGATCTGTCATTTTTAATTTTGAAAAATTAACATCGGATTCGTAATTACTGACCCAAAAAATTCCCGAGGAACAAAATTTAGTCCAATTTGTCGGATTTTCAAATATTTTGTCCACCACATTGGAACCGCCATTTTGAATTTTAAAAAACTAACATCAAATTCGTAATTATACGACACAAAATAAAAACCTCCCCAAGTAAACAAAATTTTGTCCATTTCACCGATTTGTCAAATATTTTGTCCGATATTTTGAATTTTTAAAAATTAACATCGGATTCGTAATCGCAGAGACAACAAAAACCTCCCGAGTAATAAAATTTAGTTCATTTCAATGAATTTTCAAATATTTTGTCCGCCATATTGAAACCGTCTATTTTGAATTTAAATAAACTTATACATCAAATTCGTAATTAGCGATGACCCCAAAATTCCCCGAGTAAAAAAATTTAGTTCATTTCAATGATTTTTTAAAAATATTTTGTCCGCCATTTTGAATTTTCAAAAATTGTCATCGTATAATCATATCGACCCCAGAAACCCCAATGCAAATCCAGTAATTTTAATTATAACACACACACCGTCCGACAAAATTCAACTTTTTTTTTTGATCCACAAAAAAATCCAACATTTTTGGAAAATAGGACCCAAAAAAAAAATACCCGTGTCTGACCGTTTTGATAGATCAAGTCGTTTGTGGCTTTTAGGGATGAAACAGCCCCTAAATAAAAAGTGACAAGATATCTTTTAAAACTTATTAATATTTTATAAAACTTGGTATCTGGGGGTTTTCGGGGTCGCTGATTATTAATCTGATGTCAGATTTTCAAAATTCAAAATGGCGGTCAAAATTTTAAAAAGTTATTAAATTTTTTTAAACCTTGATATCTAGGGGTTTTTTGGGTCGCTGATGACGAATCTGATGTTAAAGTGTCAAAATTTAAAATGGCGGATATAAAATAAAAAATTAATAACTTTTTAAAAATTTGATCGCCATATTGGATCCGCCATTTTGAATTTTGAAAATCTGACATCAGATTAATAATCAGTGACCCCGAAAACCCCCAGATACCAAGTTTTATAAAATATTAATAATTTTTAAAAGATATCTTGTCACTTTTCATTTAGGGGTTGTTTTCACCCCTAAAAACCCTAGTTTCCGAAAATGTTAAATTTTTTTGTGAGTCAAAAATTGTGTCGGACGGTGTAATACATAATTAACAGTTGGGTATACACTGTAAAACGAAAGGTATTAATTTAATACCGACTTTAGGTACTAAATTTTCATTTGGTTCTATTTTGATACCTAAAATCGGTACTATTTTAGTACTTTCTTTTTACAGTGTATAGTGTTCTTGTTAGTTTTTAAATATCGATAACAATAAATTCGCCAATCTCAGAAAATTGAATGGCGACGATTTCTCATAAACAAATAAAGAGTTTTTAACATTTTAAAATGAATTCTAAAAGGGAAGATTAGTACACTTTTTAGGATTACACGTAAAAATAATTTTTACCTGGAACAGCGATATAAGTTTCATTGGAACAACGATATATGTTTTACTAAAATGGGGAAAGTTTTCGCTATTCTAAAGAAACATAATTATATCGCTGTTCCAGATAAAGATTTTTTTCCGTGTAATTTTAGAACATTGACTATATATACACAGTTACACAGAAAATTAAAAGTCATTAAAATAAGCTGCAACGTTTTTTATTTTAATTCAATTTTGCTTATTTTAATACCAAAATGAATTAAAATATGCAAAATTGGATTAAAATAATAAGCGTTGCAGCTTATTTTAATGCCTTTTAATTTTCTGTGTATAAATATGAAAACTGTTTTAAAATTTATTTTAGAATTAGTTGGACATTAGTTTTTAGAACATTAGAAATAAATTAAAACTTTTTTTATAAGATTAGATTTGGGATTAGTTTTAGGAAATATTTATAATAAAACACTTGAATAGTGTTTTAGGAATAGTTTTAGCCACAGAAAATTAAAAGGCATTAAAATAAGCGTTGCACTAGCTTATTTTAATGCCTTTTAATTTTCTGTGAGGATACTTGTCATTGTAGATTATCTGATTAGTTTTTAGGATTAATTTTAGATCATTGACTACAATTAAATGTCAAAATTGTTTTAGAATTATTTGGACATCAATATTTAGATAACCTTTAGAACTGTTTTTAGAAATTGTCTTAAAATTAGAATTTGGGACATTATAAGTGGACATTATATGGTCATTGTAAAATATACCTAATTAGCATTTAGAATTATAGATTTAAAACATTTACTACAGTTTAGGACATTTTTTAGGACTTGTTTCAGAATTAGTTGAACATTGATTTTTAGAATCTTTTAGAACTGTTTTAGATCTTGTCTTAGAACTCTTAGGATTAGATTTACAATATTGGATATATATAATAAAACTATCGCACAGAAAATTAAAAGGCATTAAAATAAGCTGCAACGCTTATTATTTTAATCCATTTTGGTATTAAAATAAGCAAAATTGAATTAAAATAATAAGCGTTGCAGCTTATTTTAATGCCTTTTTAATTTTCTGTGTACTAAACTATGTTTTAGGATTACTTTTAGTTCATATTGGTTTAAGATAAAAGATTACTTTTAGAATACAGGATCTAATAAATCATCTGAACTGTTTTAGGTTTAATTTAAGCCTTTTTTTTTTATTGTAAAACATCAAAACTATTTTATCACACTAAAAAAGTATCAAATTGATTAAAATTTTTATATCAATCATTTTTGTTATCAATTTGATATTTTTAAATTAGTGTGTATAGAAAAATTTCTATTTTCTCCTCTTTCTTCACTGTCATTAAATCTTAAAAATTCAAATACAATCCCACTTTTCAACAAGTTTCAAAAATTCAATACAAATTTTAGAATAAAAAATGAAGCTTTTGAGGAAAGTAAAAATAGGATAGAGTAGGGGTTAAAGAGAAGAGAGAGAGAGAGTGGGGGGAGGGTGAGAAATGAAAACCCCTTCTCGGGATTGTTTTGCGAGGCAAGCATCAGCACGCCTGCTCGGCATCAAAAGTGGTGGTAAACTATATAGCTTCAACTGTATATACTATATGAAGGCTAGGCGGTGACTTCGGGAGTTGAAAAGAGAACCCTCTCTCTGTATATATATATATATATATACAGGTATATTACATATACATATATATACTCGACGAACCCCCGATAATCTATCCAGCACGCGACCGCACAGCGTCGCCTCATTCCTCACGGTTCACGGACCACGCTCTCGGGCGATCCTCCACGGAAAACGGGGGACCAAATCGAAACGCAAAACCCGGAACCCCCTTTTTGCTACCGCTGCGTATACGGTTGCGGGCCACTTTCAGACGAGCCGTGTCCTTTGCGTGGACCGCTTCAACAGTTTCGTCCTCTCCCCACTATTTCGCCAACTATACATCATCATCATCAACAACAACAAGGACGACTTTTGCTTCTGAACGGCAACGACTTTCTTAGTTCTCGTCATTTACGAGATCAGAAACAGTCTGGAAGAGAGAATGATGTGACGATGATGATGATGAGATCTATTGGAGATCACTAAAAGATCAGTCGTTTTTTAAAGTTAAAAAGAGATTCAGTGACACACGTGGGCGGTGTGTTTCACTCCACGTGCTACGACGAGGAACAACTTTTCACTATATAAGAGTTGGAAATCAAGAATTGTGCGATATTAAGTGTTTAAGTTTGGGGGGTAATTTTTGAGTTCGGTTATTTTTTAATTGAACGATAAGAAAATAGAAAAGGAAGTTCAAAGTTATTGAAGAATATATATATATTGGGAGAAGAAGGGAAGAGTTTTTTGGAGGAAGTTAATTGAGAATAAGGAAAGGGGAATATAATTCTAGTGAGAGATCGCGGATGTTGCTGAAGATTTAGTAAGAGGAAGGAGTAAAAACTTAGGTGAGTTTTTGATTATACCTTTTTGGTTATTTTTAATAATTATTTTTTTGTGTTTCAATTTTTTTTTTGTATATTTGATTTTAAAATTTGGCTGCAGTATATATTCTGTTAAATATTAAGTGAGGGGAATTTTCTATTCAGAAAATTAAAAGGTATTAAAATAAGCTTATTATTTTAATCCAATTTTGCTTATTTTAATACCAAAATGAATTAAAATAAGCAAAATTGGATTAAAATAATAAGCGCGTTGCAGCATATTTTAATGCCCTTTAAATTTTCTGTGATAATAAATATTTATTTGTATCAAATAATTTTTATTTGGTTCAATTAAATGCGGATGTATTTGTTTCAAATACAGAAATTATTGGGTCAAATAGAATTTATATATAATTCGAATAAAAATTATATTTAGTTTAGGTAAATAATTATTTGTATGAAATTATTATTCTTTAGAGTCAAATGGTATATTTTTTTGAAATGCACAGTTTATTTAATTCAAATAAAAATTATTTGGTTCAAATTAATATTTATTTGATAATATAGTCAAGTAACCGATTATTTGAATCAAATAAAATTTTGTTTTTTAGTGAAAAATTTCCTAAATATTAGATAATATCCTAAATATTTGAAAATTTCGGAAATATTAAATAATGTCCTAAATAAATTATTAGAAGAATTTCCTAAATATTACCGAGGAAATTCTTTACATTATGGAGTAAATTCTTTTACACTATTTTAGGGGACATTGGTTGTAGAAAATATCAACTTTTATTTATTATGTAAAATATCATATCAATTTTTTAGATTAGTTTTAAAATATTGATTATATAGAACAAAACAGCAGAAGTGTTTTATAAATTGTTTTATACATATCTAAAATTATTATCAAACTTATTGTTTTAAAGTTAATTTCAAAAATTTTTGTTCATTGAAAAAATTATATTCTAGATTTTTAAGAATTTCTTCTTAGATATAGGCGCCAAGAATATTCCTCATTTAAAGTAAGTGGTAAATATTTTTACAATATGTAATATATTCTTGGCGCCTGTTTAAGAAGAAATTCTTAAATATCTAGAATATAATTTTTTCAGTGTTCATTCTAAATTATCAAAACTATTTTAGAACTGATTTTAGGATTTTGGTTATTATAAAATATCTGATCAATTGATTTTAGGATTAGTTTTATTACGATTTTCGTTATTGTAAAATAACTGATTAGTTTATTTAGAATTAATTTTAAAACGTTGGTCATTGTAAAATTTATTTTAGGATTATAGTTTTAGGATATTGGTTATTGTAAGATATTTTATTAGTTTCACATACTAATTTCAAAGTATCAAATTGATATACCAAAAATATCAAATTGATATAAAATTTTATATCAATTTTATATTTTTGGTATATCAATTCGATACTTTGAAATTAGTGTGTTTAGTATATATTCAATATTATAAAAAGTTTTTGAACTATTTAAGGGGTCTACCCACTTTAGACGCGCTGAAATGAAGGCTGTTTTCCAGAATTTTTCTGAGTGGTTTATATTATAAATATTGACATATAAGTTGTTAGACTAAAGAAATACACTCCCGAAATACATGAAAAAATTTTTGTTATTTGTTTTTGTAAATTTTGTATGCTTGCAAATGGTAGTTGAAAAAAAAATCCCCCAAAAAAGATGGGTCCACGCTGTTGATGAAATCTCTGACATGAATTGTCCGAAACCAAAAAATCAAAAAGTTTTAGATTCAGTGTGGTAATAGCTATTGCGCATATCAAGGGATTTTTTATTTTTGCAAAATTGACAAAATGGCGGATATTTTTAATAAAAACTAACACACGGTTTTCTTTAATTTTTCGAAAAATGTCCGCCATTTTGTCAATTTTGCAAAAATAAAAAATCCCTTGATATGCGCAATAGCTATTACCACACTGAATCTAAAACTTTTTGATTTTTTGGTTTCGGACAATTCATGTCAGAGATTTCATCAACAGCGTGGACCCATCTTTTTTGGGGGATTTTTTTTTCAACTACCATTTGCAAGCATACAAAATTTACAAAAACAAATAACAAAAATTTTTTCATGTATTTCGGGAGTGTATTTCTTTAGTCTAACAACTTATATGTCAATATTTATAATATAAACCACTCAGAAAAATTCTGGAAAACAGCCTTCATTTTAGCGCGTCTAAAGTGGGTAGACCCCTTAAGGTTTAATTTTAGGACTTTATGGTCATGGCGTAAAACATCTGATTACTTTTAGAACATATGTATAGTGAAACGTCTGAATTATTTTTAAAAATAATTTTTAGAATTATCCTTAAATAATTGATTAGGTTTTAGGATTAGGTTTTAGGATTAGTTTTAAGACATTTTAGTGACATATAGTTAAACATCAAAACTGTTTTAGGATATTGGTTACTAAATTTTTTTAAGTTAGTCTTTTTTAGTTATAAGGATTTTAATTATTGGTATAAATATATTTTATCAAAATTAATTTTATAATTTCTTTAATTAATTTTAGAACATTGATTGCATATAGTTAAAAATTAAAATTATTTCTAAACTCGTTTTATACTCTCTATATAAATCTGAATCAGTCATATTTCACTGATTAGCAGTAGAAATCTACTAATTGCCATAGCGAGAATTGAGCAACTGACAATTAGTAGAAATTTACTGATTCAATTAGTAAAATATCAATTACTGATTGAATCAGTAATATAAATATATGGAGGCGGCCACAAAATCTACTGATTTAATAGTTAATTTTAAAGGTTATGTTATATACAAATTACTGATTTACATAAGTTATTTTCTATTGCTTGCATATATTCACTAATTATATTATAGTAAATTTCAAAAAATAACTGAACCTTCAGTTAAAATGAAAAGTACTGATTGAATTAGTAAAATTTCTACTGATTCAGATTTAGAGAGCATAGATATCAAGATTGTTTTAGAATTATTTTTATAGAAAATTTCACGCAAAAAAAAAAAAATCTTTACCTATAGAACAGCGATATATTTCACTAAAAACAGCGAAAGTTTTCACCATTCTAGAAGAAATATCTTCCTATATTACAAAAAGATATCGCCGCCGCCTCCGCCGCTGTTTCAAGAATTCTTGACCTAGGAGGGGGTAGTCCCCCCTCCTAAATTTTGAGGTTATGTTCGTTTCAAGGCTCTGAATTTAGCCGCAAGTCCGCCTCCCTCCTCTCATTTCCCCTCCTCCGTCAAAAATGACCTAAATTTTGAGGTTATGTTCGTTTCAAGACTCTGAATATAGCCGCAAGTCCCCTCCCCCGACAGAAATGACCTAATTTTGAGGTTATGTTCGTTTCAAGGCTCTGAATATAGCCGCTAGTCCCCCTCCCTCCTCTCATTTCACCTCCTCCATCAAAAATGACCTAAATTTTGAGGTTATGTTCGTTTCAAGGGTCTGAATATAGCCGCAAGTCCTTCCCCCTTCCCTCATCTCTCTCTGTATTTCCCGCCAAAAATAGGGGGGTTGGTGCGCGAAGCGCGCAGGGGGGCGTAGCCCCTCTAGTATATATATATATATATATATATATATATATATATATATATATATATATATATATATATATATCGCTGCTCCAGAGAAACTTATATTGCTGTTCCAGGAAAACTTATCGCTGTTCCAGAGAAACTTATCGTTGCTTCAGGTAAAGATTTTTTTGCATATTGTTAAGGATTAATTTTCAAACTCTATAAATAGTCATTGTAAAAAAATTTTTGATCAGATTTTACGATTAATTTTAGAACATTATTTTCTGTTTCCAGAATAAAGAAGATATATAATAATATACATAATAATAAAGAATATATAACCGATTACAACATATTATGATGAGCATGGTAGCCGCAATATTTTAGCATATAATTACTGAAATAAGCTGTAGGCGTTTTCCTGTGTATAGAAAATAAAAAATAACTTAATTTAGATATTTAAGATTTTAGTCAGCTTTCTGTTTATATAGATTTTTGGTTTATTCTTCGTAAAATATAAAAAGGAAGAAGAGGGGATGATTTTTATTATTATTTTTCTTCGAAAAAAAAGAGAAATTGAGGAAAGATGACCACGCACGAAGGTATATATATATATACACGCATAGTTTCTTCTCTCTCTCTCTCTCTCTCTCTCTCTCTCTCTCTCTCTCTCTCTCTCTCTCTCTCTCTCTCTCTCTCTCTCTCTCTCTCTCTCTCTCTCTCTCTCTCTCTCTCTCTCTCTCTCTCTCTCTCTCTCTCTCTCTCTCTCTCTCTCTCTCTCTCTCTCTCTCTCTCTCTTTCTATACACTCTTTACCTCGTCGAACTAGCGGCTAAGCTTTCATAAGGTAATTGGAATAATTCGGGCCACCGTGGTTCACGCCATATAGCCTGGGAAAAAATTTGCATTTTAAATGAAGCGATAGCGTGCCCGCGCGTGGTCACAACTTTGGCGTTTTATAAGAACTTTTAATATTTATCGCGTATCCTTCTCAACTGAAAAGTATCCACGCCTTTTTCTTAGGAACGATCGCGCGGGTGCACGACGAGGTTATTGTATATATGTATATACAAAAAAAAAAATATATATATATATATATATATATATATATATATATATATGTATTTATATATTCCGCCCCGCTTACATGCAGTCACGGTCGTTATCGCTCGATTAGTGGCCCCAATTTTTATTTTAAAATGTCAAAAAAAAAAAAAAAAAAAAACAGAAAAAGAGAGACACTAGAAAAAAATCGAAAAAAATTTGAAAATATCACAGAAAATTAAAAGATATTTAAATAAGCTGCAACGCTTATTATTTTAATCCAATTTTGCTTATTTTAATACCAAAATGAATTAAAATAAGCAAAATTGGATTAAAATAATAAGCGCGTTGCAGCTTATATTTTAATGCCTTTGTAATTTTCTGTGAACGCGCCACAAGAGAAGGGACTGTACGTTAAAAAAAATTTTTAGGTTATGTTGTTAGTT